ACCCGTACCCGTTTGCGACCCTGGGGTACGGGTAGCCGGGTATCGGGTAGGGTACGGGTATCGGGTATGGGTAGCCGGGTATCGGGTAGGGTACGGGTATCCAGTAGGGTACGGGTATCGGGTAGGGGTAGCCGGGTATCCGGTAGGGTACGGGTATCGGGTAGGGGTAGCCGGGTATCCGGTAGGGTACGGGTATCGGGTAGCCGGGTATCCGGTAGGGTACGGGTATCGGGTACGGGTAGCTGGGTATCGGGTAGGGTACGGGTATCGGCTACCTGATTGCGACCTCTGCCCTGCAGGTGTCCCCCATGAAGAACTGCCGCGAGCACTTCGTCCTGGGGGCGCTGGGCGGCCACCTGATGTCCGCCGGCGGGCGCAACGAGCTGCGCCAAGTGTTGCCCACAGTGGAGCGCTACTCCCCCGGGGACGACTCGTGGACCTTCGTGCGCCCCTTCGACCGCTCGCTCTCCTGCCACGCCGGCTGCGTGGCGGACGGGCGCCTCTGGGTGTCGGGTAAGATTGGGCACCGGCGGGCACTGGTCTCGCTGAACGGGGCTTGCCCCGACAGTCTGTCGAACGGTGTACTACTTGTGTTGTGGTTATTGCAACATGATGCCTTGAATAAAGGTGTCAGTTTTGTACAAGTTTAAAGGGTAAAAACCTACTACTATATTTTGCCACTGGTAAAAGAGATCTCATAGTGGTGTCGCGATGTCGCTTTTCGCGGCCGGTATCGTTCGTAGTGAAGGTTTTTCAGTAGTAGGTTTTTACCCTTTCAACTGGTACAAAAACTGAATGATGCCTTGTATAAAGGTGTCAGTTTTTGTACCAGTTGAAAGGGTAAAAACCTATTACTATATTTTGCCACTGGTAAAGGAGGTGTCTCATAAGGTTTTTCAGGTTGGGTCACGTGAGCGGGAACGGGTCATGACCCTCCGTCACTACTACCCGGGTGGTCCACCCCAGTGTGTTGGAGAGTGAATCCACGACGTTTAAAATATTTGAGTACGAATATTCTGGCAAATCGCTGGATGTAATTACCGGCGAAACATCTTCTTGGTTCTTTCGGTAAAGTCACGTAGAAGGGAAATAATAAAGTAATAAAAAGAAAACATAATAAAATACAATTCTCACGACGTTTCGGCCACAACGCAAGCAGCCGTCCTCAGGTGAAGAACAGGTCTGTCGGAAAGACACCTGAGGACGGCTGCTTGCGTTGTGGCCGAAACGTCGTGAGAATTGTATTTTATGATGTTTTATTTTTATTATTTTATTATTTCCCTTCTACGTGATGACTTTACCGAAAGAACCAAGAAGATGAATCCCTGCAGTCACAAAAGCTTTAAATCGAAATTTTACCAACGAAACGTCGTACTACTCGCATTGTAAATGTCGTGGATTTACTCTCCAACACACCGGTGGGCTGAAGCAGTCGCTGATTGGCGCGTTTTGTTAACGCGACAAACCTCGAAGTCTGTTACAGCTACACGGGGGGATCGTTGTGCAGTGAGCGGTGGCGCAGTGGTTAGCGCACTGCGCTACAAACCCGGCCACACGATCTCCATTCACGGCCAACATCAGTGATGAATACCTCATCCTGCCCCACTGGTAGCGTAGAGGCCCGGGCCTGGGCCTCCCCTAGGTCGACTCAGCCTCAAATGAGTACCTGGTGCGGTGTGTAAACATCGCCACTGGGGAGACAAAGGCGGCCGGGCGTGGTGCTGGCCACCCACCCCCTCGTGTGCCGTGCCGGCCTTCATAGGTGCTCGCTAACAGCACTTGCCCCAACAGTCTGTCAAGGCTACACGGGGGATCTGCTTTGTCTCCGTTGTATTCACTGTGTGTGTGTGTGTGGTGCGTTGCTGTGTGTGTGTGTGGTTTGTTGCTGTGTGTGTGTGGTGCGTTGCTGTGTGTGTGGTGCGTTGCTGTGTGTGTGTGTGTGGTGCGTTGCTGTGTGTGTGTGGTGCGTTGCTGTGTGTGTGGTGCGTTGCTGTGTGTGTGTGTGTGGTGCGTTTCTGTGTGTGTGTGTGCGTTGCTGTGTGTGTGTGTGGTGCGTTGCTGTGTGTGTGTGGTGTGTTGCTGTGTGTGTGTGGTGCGTTGCTGTGTGTGTGGTGCGTTGCTGTGTGTGTGTGTGTGGTGCGTTGCTGTGTGTGTGTCTGCGTTGCTGTGTGTGTGTGTGGTGCGTTGCTGTGTGTGTGTGTGGTGCGTTGCTGTGTGTGTGTGTGGTGCGTTGCTGTGTGTGTGGTGCGTTGCTGTGTGTGTGTGTCACCGTTCCCATACCACAGGTGGCGTCACGAACACTGCCCAGTACCAGAACTCGCTGCTGGTTTACGACCCCGCGCTGGTGAGCACGTTCCCTTTGCTGGCTGACAACCGCAGCCTGAACCCTACCGTTGTGGGCGCCACGGTGGCGAGGAGATGTTAACTACCTCGCCTGGTATACAGGAGGTCGTGGGTTCGATCCCGACCCTGACGCCTGCTGCTGTATATTTGGAGTTTGCGTGTCTCTCTCTCATCATCATCATCACGGTGGCTAGGAGATGTTAACTACCTCGCCTGGTATACAGGAGGTCGTGGGTTCGATCCCGACCCTGACGCCTGCTGCTGTATATTTGGAGTTTGCGTGTCTCTCTCTCATCATCATCATCACGGTGGCTAGGAGATGTTAACTACCTCGCCTGGTATACAGGAGGTCGTGGGTTCGATCCCGACCCTGACGCCTGCTGCTGTATATGCGAAGTTTGCGTGTCTCTCTCTGTCATCATCACGGTGGCTAGGAGATGTTAACTACCTCACCTGGTATACAGGAGGTCGTGGGTTCGATCCCGACCCTGACGCCTGCTGCTGTATATGCGAAGTTTGCGTGTCTCTCTCTGTCATCATCACGGTGGCTAGGAGATGTTAACTACCTCACCTGGTATACAGGAGGTCGTGGGTTCGATCCCGACCCTGACGCCTGCTGCTGTATATTTGGAGTTTGCGTGTCTGTCTCTCATCATCATCACGATGGCTAGGAGATGTTAACTACCTCGCCTGGTGTGCAGGAGGTCGTGGGTTCCATTCCGACCCTGATGCCTGTTGCTGTATATTTGGAGTTTGCGTGTCTCTCTCTCATCATCGTCACGATGGCTAGGAGATGTTAACTACCTCGCCTGGTGTACATGAGGTCGTGGGTTCGATCCCGACCCTGACGCCTGCTGCTGTATATTTGGAGTTTGCGTGTCTCTCTCATCATCATCACGGTGGCTAGGAGATGTTAACTACCTCGCCTGGTATACAGGAGGTCGTGGGTTCGATCCCGACCCTGACGCCTGCTGCTGTACATTAGGAGTTTGCGTGTCTCTCCCCATTGTCGCGTGGATTTTTCTCCGGGTCCTCCGATTTTTACCTCCACATTTAGAATCAACGTCACGACCTTTAGAGTGTTTGGCTGCCGATGACAAGCCGCTTAGTTGAGCTATCATTTGTGGTAACCAGTTTTGCTTCTGAAAAAGATCTTTATACCTCAGTGGAGCCTGAGCTGGTAAAGTAAAAAAAAACATTTGTAATTTTTTTGTTTAGTTCTGTACGTACGCCAACACCAACCCATAGGCGTTCCCTCTCGCCCGCTATTGTATCATAATCAACAGCACCTAGCACGGACCCCAACACCCAAACACTCCAACAACATAACCATACCTCTCATACTAATCAAGTAGTTACATTCCGTGAGGCATGGGGAGTGAACGGTGGGAAGCCATGGGCTGGCCCCTACTGCAGAGGTCGCAAACGGGTTTTGATTCCTTACCCGTACCCGGCCGCACCAGGGTCGCAAACGGGTACCGTACCCTACCCGATACCCGGCTACCCGTACCCGGCCGGGTATCGGGTAGGGTACCCGATTGCGACCTCTGGGATGAAGCCATGTTGCAGGCGCGGGTGGGTTGATTCTAGGAACTTGAATAGTGAGAAGAGACAAGACGTTGGGGAATGAGTGACAAACGGTGACTCACCAGTGACTCACGGCCTACCCGTACCCGTACCCGGCCGCACCAGGGTCGCGAACGGGTACCCGTACCCGGCCGGGTACGGGTAGCCGGGTATCGGGTAGGGTACGGGTATCGGGTACCCGGTTGCGACCTCTGCCCGACTGTAATCATTATTTTATTACAGTCGTACCTCGGTATACGACCGCTTTGGTATACGTCGTGTTTTGACGAGAAAAAATGTCTTGGGATACGACGTCTTGCTTGGGATACGACGCGCTTGCTAGAACTTGTGTGGGTCGGGATGAGTCACCGTGTACCCGCCGCGTAGACCCCGTTCACGACTGAAACAAAGCGCCGCTCCTCAGTCAGCCTGTAGATCTCGTTCAGTGCCCAACCCTTGCTAGAACTCTCTGTGTGAGCCGCGTACGGCGCCGCGTGTCGCAGCGCGTGGATTGTTTTGTTGCGTTTGTGTGTTTGTCGCCGGTGACTTTGTGCTTCGCATCGAAATCTGCCCCAGCGATGTTGCCGCTGGCAGCAATGAAAGTCGTTTAGACGTGAAAAGTCTCTTCCTCCTCCCCCATCTCCCCGCTCCCCTTCCTCCTCTCTCTACTCCTCCGCCCCCATCTCCCGCTCGCCCCTCTCTCCTCCTCATCCTCCCATCTCCTCCCTTCTCCCTCCTCCCCTCCCCTCCTCTCCTCTCCCTCTCTCTTCCTCCTCTTCCGCCCCCATCTCCCGCTCGCTCCTCCTCCTCGTCCTCTCATCTCATCCCTGATCCCCACTCCTCCTCACTCCTCGTCACTCCCCTCCTCTCCTCCCCCTCTAACCCCCCACACCCACACGCAGGACGTGTGGTCCCCGTGCAGCGCGATGCCCCAGCGGCGCGTCTACCACTCGATGGCGGCCGTGTGCCGTCGGCTCTACGTGCTGGGGGGCAACGACCTGGACCACAACAACGACCGCATCATGGTGCGCCACATCGACCGCTACAGCCTGGACACCGACCAGTGGACGCGCTGCACCGCCGCCCTCAGAAAAGGTTCCGCAGTGTCTCCGGGCGGTGGGGGTGGTGGAGAGGGGTGCAGTGGAGTGGAGTGCAGTGGAGGGGGGTGGGGGTGGAGTGGGGTGCAATGGAGTGGGGTGCAATGGAGTGGGGTGTAATGGAGTGGGGTGCAATGGAGTGGGGTGCAGTGGGGAGGGGGTGCAGTGGGGTGGAGTGGGGTGCAATGGAGTGCAGTGGGGTGCAATGGAGTGGGGTGCAGTGGGGTGGAGTGGGGTGCAATGGAGTGCAGTGGGGTGCAGTGGAGTGGGGTGCAGTGGAGTGGGGTGCAGTGGAGTGCAGTCGAGTCGTGTCGTGTGCAGTGGACTGGGGTGGGGTACAAAAGAGAGACAAAGGCGGCCGGGCGTGGTGCTGGCCACCCACCCCCCTCGTGCGCCGTTCCGGCCTTCATAGGTGCTGCTCGCTAACAGCACTTGCCCCTACAGTCTGTTGAGGCTCCACGGGGGATCTTTGTCTTTGTGAAGCTGGAATTGAACCTGAAACTCTGCTGCAGGTCAGAATGAAGCCGGAGTCGCAGTGCACGCTGGGAAAATATACCTGGTGGGCGGCTACTCCATCGTCATCAACGAGCCCCTCGCATCGGTGCAGGTGAGGCAGAGGTGGCGGCGTCAGAGACAGGGAGACAGAGACAGAGTTGGAGACAGGTGGTTTGAGTCGGTGTTGACGGTGCGGTGTGTGCGTGTCTGTGTGCGCGTGCGTGTCTGTGTGTGCGTCTGTGTGTGCCTGCGTGTCTGTGCCTGCGTGTCTGTGTGTCTGCGTGTGTATCTGGGCACGCGTGTCTGTGTGTCTCTGTGTCTGTGTGTCTCTATGTCTGTGCGTCTCTGTCTCTGTTTCTGTGTGCGCTTGTCTCTGTGTCTATGTGTCTGTATGTCTGTATGTCTCTGTATCTGTGTGTCTCTGTGTGCGCGTGTCTGTTTGTGCATCTCTGTGTGTGTGTGTCTCTGTGTCTGTGTGCCTCTGTGTCTGCGTGTCTGTGTGTGCGTGCGTGTCTGTTTGTGCATCTCTGTGTGTGTGCGCGTGTCTGTTTGTGCATGTCTGTGTGTGCGTCTCGCTCACAGATCCTGGACGTGTTTGCTGGATGGGGGGATCAGGGTGACCAGGGCGGCGAGCGGCTGCTCACTGGGCCCGCTCTGCCCTTCGCCTCCAACGGCGTCGCCGCATACTTCCTGCCCCGACCCAGCACCTGCAAACCCCACAGCTTGTGGTAGTAGAGACACGGGGGAGACACGGGGGAGACACGGGGGGACAGGGGAGACACGAGGGAGACACGGGGGAGACACGGGGGAGACACGGGGGAGACACGGGGGAGACACGGGGGGACAGGGGAGACACGAGGGAGACACGGGGGAGACACGGGGGAGACACGGGGGGACAGGGGAGACACGGGGGAGACACGGGGGAGACACGGGGGAGACACGGGGGAGACACGGGGGGACAGGGGAGACACGAGGGAGACACGGGGGAGACACGGGGGAGACACGGGGGAGACACGGGGGGACAGGGGAGACACGGGGGAGACACGGGGGACAAGGGAGACACGAGGGAGACACGGGGGAGACACGGGGGAGACACGGGGGGACAGGGGAGACACGAGGTAGACACGGGGGGACAGAGGAGACACTAGGGAGACACGGGGGAGACACGGGGGAGACACGGGGGAGACACGGGGGAGACAACGGGGGAGACACGAGGGAGACACGGGGGGACAGAGGAGACACGAGGGAGACCGGGGGAGACACTGGGGAGACCGGGGGAGACACGGGGGGACAGGGGAGACACAGGGAGACACGGGGGGCCAGAGGAGACACGAGGGAGACACGGTGGAGACACGGGGAGACACGGGGGGAGACACGGGGGAGACACGGGGGGACAGGGGAGACACGAGGGAGACACGGGGGGACAGAGGAGACACGAGGGAGACACGGGGGAGACACGGGGGAGACACGGGGGAGACACGGGGGGGACGGGGAGACACGAGGGAGAACACGGGGGGACAGAGGAGACACGAGGGAGACACGGGGGAGACACGGGGGAGACACGGGGGAGACACGGGTGGACAAGGGGAGAACACGAGGGAGACACGGGGGGACAGAGGAGACACGAGGGAGACACGGGGGAGACACGGGGGAGACACGGGGAGACACGGGGGGACAGGGGAGACACGAGGGAGACACGGGGGAGACACGGGGGAGACACGGGGGAGACACGGGGGGACAGGGGAGACACGAGGGAGACACGGGGGGACAGAGGAGACACGAGGGAGACACGGGGAGACACGGGGGAGACACGGGGGAGACACGGGGGGACAGGGGAGACACGGGGGAGACACGGGGGAGACACGGGGGAGACACGGGGGAGACACGGGGGGACAGGGGAGACACGAGGGAGACACGGGGGAGACACGGGGAGACACGGGGGAGACACGGGGGGACACGGGGAGACACGGGGGAGACACGGGGGGACAGGGGAGACACGAGGGAGACACGGGGGAGACACGGGGGAGACACGGGGGAGACACGGGGGAGACACGGGGGGACACGGGGAGACACGGGGGGGACACGGGGACAGAGGAGACACGAGGGAGACACGGGGGAGACACGGGGGAGACACGGGGGAGACACGGGGAGACACGGGGGAGACACGAGGGAGACACGGGGGGACAGAGGAGACACGAGGGAGACACGGGGGAGACACGGGGGAGACACGGGGGAGACACGGGGGGACAGGGGAGACACCAGGGAGACACGGGGGACAGAGGAGACACGGGGGAGACACGGGGGAGACACGGGGGAGACACGGGGGGACAGGGGAGACACGAGGGAGACACGGGGGGACAGAGGAGACACGAGGGAGACACGGGGGAGACACGGGGGAGACACGGGGGAGACACGGGGGGACAGGGGAGACACGAGGGAGACACGGGGGGACAGAGGAGACACGAGGAGACACGGGGGAGACACGGGGGAGACACGGGGGGACAGGGGAGACACGAGGGAGACACGGGGGGACAGAGGAGACACGAGGGAGACACGGGGGAGACACGGGGAGACACGGGGGGACAGGGGAGACACGAGGGAGACACGGGGGGACAGAGGAGACACGAGGGAGACACGGGGGAGACACGGGGGAGACACGGGGGAGACACGGGGGACAGGGGAGACACGAGGGAGACACGGGGGAGACAGGGGAGACACGAGGGAGACACGGGGGAGACACGGGGAGACACGAGGAGACACGAGGGAGACACGGGGGAGACACGGGGGAGACACGATGGAGACACGGGGGAGACACGGGGGAGACACGGGGGAGACACGGGGGAGACACGGGGGGACAGAGGAGACAGCGGAGACACAGCGGAGACACGGGTGGGGGGGGGGGGGACATGGGAACCAGTAGAGGGGGGCGTTGAGCGGTGCGCATAGATTCCGGTGTTGGTTATAGACACACACACAGACACGCACACACGTAACAACAACAACAACCGCCATTCGCCACTAAGTGGCGGTGACGTGCCCACGACGCTTGTGCCAGGCCATGTGCACCTTGAGGCCACGTGAAGCTGGCAGGAGGTCACGGGGCAGACCCAGCAGGTGCCACGGGTCGACTGACCGAGATGACTGGATGATGCACCACCTGTGCCCCCTACTGTACCAACTTGCTGTGCTTTAGCCACCCGGCGCACACACAGACACACACACACAAGCAATCTCCATCTCTCATGTACACGGGCGCGTGCAGACCCACAGAGACGCACGGAGACACACAAAGATCCCCTCTTATAGCCTTAGCAGGCTAGTTGGAGCAAGTGCTGTTAGCGAGCAGCGACGATGAGATGACACACACACACACACACGCATCACGCATGTAAGAATGGGGAACAAATAATAAATCTATATGAAAGTAATTTTTTATTAAGTTTACATTGAGTACAAACGGCGTCGGTCCATTTCGTCATTCGTTCAAAACTTTACGCGTCCGATTGAAAAAAATAAATAAAGACATTAACCTGGGTCAAGTTCTTCGCGTTAGAAAGCGGAAATGCATAGCGGCCAAACCCGTACTGTTCACCCCGTGTTCTTGCACGGGGAGATTGCGTTCTTCAGGTCCACACGGCGCACAGCCGGTTCAATACGGGCGACAAAGAATTAATAATGTCTTTGTGTTTGTGTTTCTCCCTTGCGATGGGACTTTGTAGGACGAACGTCGAGGTTTATAAAGGGCACGGGGTGACCGATACGGTCTGACTTGGTCCGCGGTAAGGTAGGGAGGGCACTGATCGGGGGTTGGCAGGTATGGAGACCCACAGAGACCCCCACAGAGACCCCCACAGAGACCCCCAACAGAGACCCCCAACAGAGACCCCCAGAGACCCACAGAGACCCCAACAGAGACCCCCACAGAGACCCCCCACAGAGACCCCAACTCACAGAGACCCCCACAGAGTCCCCCAGAGACCCCCACAGAGACCCCCAACAGAGACTCCAACAGAGACCCAAACAGAGACCCCACAGAGACCCCCAACAGAGACCCCCAACAGAGACCCCCCACAGAGACCCCACAGAGACCCACAGAGACCCCACAGAGACCCCCACAGAGACCCACAGAGACCCCCACAGAGACCCCCACAGAGACCCCACAGAGACCCACAGAGACCCCCACAGAGACCCCACAGAGACCCCCACGGAGACCCCCAACAGAGACCCCAATAGAGACCCCCACAGAGGACCCCCACAGAGACCCCCCAGAGACCCCCACAGAGACCCCCACAGAGACCCCCACAGAGACCCCCACAGAGACCCCCACAGAGACCCCCACAGAGGAACCCCACGAGGACCCCACCAATAGAGACCCCCACAGAGACCCCCACAGAGACCCCACAGAGACCCCCACAGAGACCCCCACAGAGACCCCCACAGAGACCCCACAGAGACCCCCCACAGAGACCCCCACAGAGACCACAGAGACCCCCACAGAGACCCCCACAGAGACCCCCACAGAGACCCCCACAGAGACCCCCACAGAGACCCCCACAGAGACCCCACAGAGACCCCCGCAGTGACCCCACAGTGACCCCACAGTGACCCCCACAGAGACCCCCACAGAGACCCCCACAGAGACCCCCACAGAGACCCCACAGAGACCCCCACAGAGACCCCCACAGAGACCCCACAGAGACCCCCACAGAGACCCCCACAGAGACCCCCACAGAGACCCCCACAGAGACCCCCACAGAGACCCCCACAGAGACCCCACAGAGACCCCCACAGAGACCCCCACAGAGACCCCACAGAGACCCCCACAGAGACCCCCACAGAGACCCCCCACAGAGCCCCCCACAGAGACCCCCACAGAGCCCCCCACAGAGCCCCCACAGAGACCCCCACAGAGACCCCCACAGAGACCCCCACAGAGACCCCACAGAGACCCCCACAGAGACCCCACAGAGACCCCCACAGAGACCCCCACAGAGACCCCACAGAGACCCCACAGAGACCCCCACAGAGACCCCACAGAGACCCCCACAGAGACCCCCACAGAGACCCAATAGAGACCCCCACAGAGACCCCCACAGAGACCCCCACGGAGACCCCCCACAGAGACCCCCACAGAGATCCCCACAGAGACCCCCACAGAGACCCCCACAGAGACCCCACAGAGACCCCCACAGAGACCCCCACAGAGACCCCACAGAGACCCCACAGAGACCCCACAGAGACCCCACAGAGACCCCCACAGAGACCCCCACAGAGACACACAGAGACCCCCACAGAGACCCAAATAGAGACCCCAACAGAGACCCCACAGAGACCCCCCACAGAGCCCCCCCCAGAGACCCCCACAGAGACCCCAACAGAGACCCCCACAGAGACCCCCACAGAGACCCCCACAGAGACCCCCCACAGAGACCCCCACAGAGACCCCAACAGAGACCCCAACAGAGACCCCCACAGAGACCCCCACAGAGACACCCACAGAGACCCCCACAGAGACCCCACAGAGACCCCCACAGAGACCCCCACAGAGACCCCCACAGAGACCCCCACAGAGACCCCCACAGAGACCCCCACAGAGACCCCCACAGAGGACCCCCACAGAGACAGAGACAAACAGAGACCCCACAGAGACCCCCACAGAGACCCCCACAGAGACCCCCACAGAGACCCCCACAGAGTCCCCCAGAGACCCCCACAGAGACCCCCAACAGAGACTCCAACAGAGACCCAAACAGAGACCCCCACAGAGACCCCCACAGAGACTCACACAGAGACCCCCACAGAGACCCCCACAGAGACCCCCACAGAGACCCCCAACAGAGACCCCCACAGAGACTCACACAGAGACCCCCACAGAGACCCCCACAGAGACCCCCACAGAGACACCCACAGAGACCCCCAACAGAGACCCCCACAGAGACCCCCACAGAGACCCCCACAGAGACCCCCACAGAGACCCCCACCAGAGACCCCCACAGAGACCCCCACAGAGACCCCCACAGAGACCCCCAGAGACCCACAGAGACACACAGAGACCCCCACAGAGACCCACACAGAGACCCCAATAGAGACCCCCAGAGACACACAGAGACACACAGAGACCCACAGAGACCCCCACAGAGACCCCCACAGAGACCCACACAGAGACCCCAATAGAGACCCCCACAGAGACCCCCACAGAGACCCCCAACAGAGACCCCACAGAGACCCCCACAGAGACCCCCACAGAGACCCACAGAGACCCCCAACAGAGACCCCCACAGAGACCCCCACAGAGACCCACACAGAGACCCCAATAGAGACCCCCACAGAGACCCCCACAGAGACCCCCAACAGAGACCCCCACAGAGACCCCCACAGAGACCCCCACAGAGACCCACAAAGACCCCCAACAGAGACCCCCACAGAGACCCCCACAGAGACCCACAGAGACCCCCACAGAGACCCCCAACAGAGACCCCCACAGAGACCCCCAACAGAGACCCACAGAGACCCCCACAGAGACCCCCACAGAGACCCCCAACAGAGACCCCCACAGATACCCCCACAGAGACCCCCACAGAGACCCCACAGATACCCCCACAGAGACCCCCAACAGAGACCCCCACAGATACCCCCACAGAGACCCCCACAGAGACCCCCCACAGAGACCCCAACAGAGACCCCAACAGAGACCCCCACAGAGACCCCCACAGAGACCCCCACAGAGACCCACAGAGACCCCCACAGAGACCCCCAACAGAGACCCCCACAGAGACCCCAACAGAGACCCACAGAGACCCCCACAGAGACCCCCACAGAGACCCCCAACAGAGACCCCCACAGATACCCCCACAGAGACCCCCACAGATACCCCCAACAGAGACCCCCACAGATACCCCCACAGAGACCCCCACAGAGACCCCCACAGAGACCCCCACAGATACCCCCACAGAGACCCCCACAGATACCCCCACAGAGACCCCCACAGATACCCCCAACAGAGACCCCCACAGATACCCCCACAGAGACCCCCACAGAGACCCCCCACAGAGACCCCCAACAGAGACCCACCACAGATACCCCCACAGATACCCCCAACAGAGACCCCAACAGAGACCCCCAACAGAGACCCCCAACAGAGACCCCCACAGATACCCCCACAGAGACCCCCCCAGAGACCCCCCACAGAGACCCCCAACAGAGACCCCCAACAGAGACCCCCACAGAGACCCCCAACAGAGACCCCCAACAGAGACCCCCAACAGAGACCCCCACAGAGACCCCCCACAGAGACCCCCAACAGAGACCCCCAACAGAGACCCCCACAGAGACCCCCACAGATACCCCCACAGAGACCCCACAGATACCCCCCACAGAGACCCCCAACAGAGACCCCCAACAGAGCCCCCCACAGAGACCCCCACAGATACCCCCACAGAGACCCCCACAGAGACCCCCCACAGAGACCCCCAACAGAGACCCCCAACAGAGACCCCCACAGAGACCCCCACAGATACCCCCACAGAGACCCCCAACAGAGACCCCCACAGAGACCCCCCACAGAGACCCCCAACAGAGACCCCCCAACAGAGACCCCCACAGAGACCCCCACAGAGTACCCCCCACAGAGACCCCCAACAGAGACCCCCACAGAGACCCCCACAGAGACCCCCAACAGAGACCCCCACAGAGACCCCCAACAGATACCCCACAGAGACCCCCACAGAGACCCCCAACAGAGACCCCCACAGAGACCCCCACAGAGACCCCCACAGAGACCCCAACAGATACCCCCACAGAGACCCCCACAGAGACCCCCACAGAGACCCCCAACAGATACCCCCAACAGAGACCCCCAACAGAGACCCCAACAGAGACCCCCAACAGAGACCCCCAACAGAGACCCCCCACAGAGGACCCCCAACAGAGACCCCCAACAGATACCCCCAACAGAGACCCCCACAGAGACCCCCAACAGAGACCCCCAACAGAGACCCCCCACAGAGACCCCCAACAGAGACCCCCAACAGAGACCCCCAACAGAGACCCCAACAGAGACCCCCACAGAGACCCCCAACAGAGACCCCCAACAGAGACCCCAACAGAGACCCCCAACAGAGACCCCCAACAGAGACCCCAACAGAGACCCCCAACAGAGACCCCCAACAGAGACCCCCAACAGAGACCCCCAACAGAGACCCCCAACAGAGACCCCCAACAGAGACCCCCAACAGAGACCCCCAACAGAGACCCCCAACAGAGACCCCCAACAGAGACCCCCAACAGAGCCCCCCAACAGAGACCCCCACAGAGACCCCCAACAGAGACCCCCACAGAGACCCCCACAGAGACCCCCAACAGAGACCCCCACAGAGACCCCCAACAGAGACCCCCAACAGAGACCCCCAACAGAGACCCCCAACAGAGACCCCCACAGATACCCCCACAGAGACCCCCACAGAGACCCCCAACAGAGACCCCCAACAGAGACCCCCACAGATACCCCCACAGAGACCCCCACAGAGACCCCCCACAGAGACCCCCAACAGAGACCCCCAACAGAGACCCCCAACAGAGACCCCCAACAGAGACCCCCACAGAGACCCCCACAGAAATCCATAGCTGTCAACCCATACGGTTGACCCCGTACTTTTGCACGGGGGAAATTGCGTTCTTCAGGTGCCATAAGGCGTACAGCCGTTTCAAAACGGGCTAAACACTTGCTACCGTCTCGTTTGCTTCCTCCCTTGCGATGGCACGTGTGGGGTGACCAAGGCGGTCTCAATGGGTCTGCGGTCAGGTCGGGCACCGACAGCTACGGGAACCACCAACTCGTTTTCACGCAACGAGTCGCCGCCGTTTGCATCGCGAGTTTGACGGTGGCGGGGGTCACAGCAGAGGTCGCAAACGGGTTTTGATCCCTTACCCGTACCCGGCCGCACCAGGGTCGCAAACGGGTACCCGTACCTGGCCGGGTACGGGTAGCCGGGTATCGGGTAGGGTACGGGTATCGGGTACCCGGTTGCGACCTCTGCCGTCGACGCAGCAGCAAACCAAAACGCATCGTTGCCCGAGTTCATGATCTGTGCCATTGTCGTCGTTCCGTGTGGCGCTGCTGCTGCTACTGGTGCTGCTGCTGCTGGTGGCGGCGATGTCGGTTTACATTTTGCGTCGCTGAAAAGCTGGACGAAAACAATCATGAACGCTGCGGCTGCTGCCGCTGTTGTTGTTGACGCTGTTGTTGTTGTTGTTGCTGCTCGTACCCCCCCCCCCCCTCACCCCGGGCCACAGACGCGTTTGTCCGTCGGCCGTTCCTCGACGTTTCGCAGCACGCGCCCCGCTAAGGCTTCTCTCTCTGCGGGTAGCCTCAACTCCGTTCTACCCCGAATCCTTCTCGGTACTCGATGGATAAAGCTTCCACCCCCACCCCCACACACCTGAGACACGCGTGGGCCTCGAAACGTCGGACCTCGTTGACGGATGCGCAGACGCGTGGGGC